AGGCCCTGCTTTGAGGGGACAGGGCCTGGGGCAGGCCGGATGCCGCCTGGCTCAGGCAGGTGGATGGGCTGGTGCTCCGGGCAGGGGGAACCTCAGGGAGGATCCCGAGGCTCCTGGGATCTAAAGGGCAGGGCTGCAGCTGTCCACCTCTGTGGTTGTGCCCAAGATGGGGAAACTGAGGCCAGGCAGTGGGCTTGGAAGGGGCAGCCCCAGCGGGGTGGGCACGCCTCTGTGCAGGTTCCCACGGTGATGTTTACTTGGGAGCAGGGGTGGACCTTCTCTGATGCTTCTTCATGGTGGGGGGGGGAGGGAGGCTCAGAGTCCGCTGGGGTCCAGGACCACGCAGCCTGGGGGTGTGGGCCCGGCACATGTGACACCGGGTTCATCCATCCTGGCTGTCTCACAGAGCCTTGTCCACCCGTCTTCTGTCTGCGGTCAGCTTTGCTCCACTGCCATGGCTGGCACTTGGTCACACCAACATCAGACACCTTGCTGGGGTGGAACCCGCCGCCCAGGAGGGGGCGCTGAGCTGGGCCTGGCCCGACTCATGTGCTCACCCGGTACTTCAAATAGGAGAGGTACGTGTCCCAGCCGAGGGTCACGCCATTGATGTAGGTGACCCGGAACTGGGAGGGCACGAAGAGGAAGTTCACCAGCTGGGCAGGGGGCCAGACGCACCAGTCTGCCTGTGGGGAGGGGCTGTGGTGAGAAGTTGGCACAGCTTGTGGCTGAATTCAGGTGAGTTATGTTTGGGGGGTGGGGTGGGGGGAGCATGGAGTGGGCAGGGCCTGGGTAGGTATTCCCTTCAACTTCCCCTTCCCCACCCCTGCCAAACTCGGGGTCATCGGGTCTCTGCTGACCCAGTGACCTTACAGGGCGAGCAGGGCGAGCAGAATTGACCCGTGAGTTTTGGAGACTCTTGATGGCAGTAGGAAGCCTGCCTTTCTCTAGAGCAGCTGGTGGTGTTGAACTGCTGACCTTGAGGAGAGCAACCTAACATGTATCTCCCATGCTACCTTGTAGAATTCCCAGAACTTGTCCCGAAGCTCCTGGTGGCTCTCCTCCAGCGTCTGGCCCTCCAGCCAGCCAAGACCTGGGAAGAAAACCAGGAAATGAGTGTCCATGTCTGGCACCAAGGAGGACTGGCAATGGAAGGGGTGGGAGGGGCAAATGGAGCCAAGGGACCTTCCCCCCAGCTTCCTCCATCCCTTCCTCCCCCAGCCTCTCCCACAGGTCCTACAGCGATTGAGTGGATTCCCACTTGGACATCAATGGGGCAGGCCTTTCCAGCATGTCTCAGCCAAGTGCGCCTCCTGTGGGAAGCCCACTTGGCCCTTTCCCCAAGAACAGCCCCATCCAACACCCTGGGGACCCTCCCATACGCATCACGGGCTCCCTGAGGGTGGGACCAGGTCTGCACAGTGGCCCTTGTGACTGAACACACCCCGGTCCAGGAGGTGTATCTATACCCTCCTCAACCCAAAGTTGGCCCTGCTCCACGGACCATGGAGGGGCAAGGCCAAGGCTCACAGGGCATTACAGATGGGATCATGTCCCCAACCAACATGCACTGAAGTCCTGGCCCTTGTCATCATCAAGCTCATGGCCAGTGAGTCCATTCCAACTCACAGTGACTGGAGAGGACAGGGTAGAACTGCCCCTGTGGGCTTCCAAGACCAGAAGGCTACATAAATAGAAAGCCTTGTCTTTCTCCAGAGGAGGGGCTTCAAACTGCCGGCCTGTGGTTAGCAGCCCAATGCATAACCCCCACGCCACCTGGGCTCCCGATGGTGATTGGGTAGCTGTTGGGAAAGAGGGCTTTCTTTTGGGATGTGAATTCGGGTGTATCCTCACCCCAATCCCTTCTGAGCTCTATCAGAGGTGACAGTGGCACATGCACACGAGGAATGAGGATCAGATGCATCCATGGACAAGACCAGGGCACCAAGGAGTACTGTCAGGGACTAGAAGCTTAACGGGCACCAACAGTTAGGTGCTGGACCACAGGCCCAAAAGCCTGGCATCTGCTTCTCACAGACCATGGCGTTGACAAACTGGAGCACAAAGGCCTTCCCCTAGAGCCCAGCCTCATCTCCGCCTCCTCGTGGACTCCCCCTTGTGCCTTCCCGCTGGGAACCCCTCAATGACTCCAACGAGGGGATCCTTACCCAAGAAGTACCAAACACCTAACAAGGGTGAGGCGACCAGCTGGTCCACTAGGACCTTCCTGAGGACGGATGGGAGGCTGCGGAGGCCGGAGGCAGGGAGCAGGCGGTCCAGCCAGAGGTACCAGTAGTGCAGGAAGGGGCCCATACTGCAGCCCATGGCAAACATGCTTGCTGAGGGTGGAAGAGTGCAAGAGTCAGCCTGCCAGCAAACACCGCAAGCCAGAACCTTGCCGGGGCAGCAGTTCCTGGGGCTGCCCACCGATGTCTTCTACCTACACAAGCCGGATCTCCAGGCTCAGCCCCAGGCGCTGTCTTCTAGCTCCACCCCCCACCCCCTGCGGAAGTTTGATCACTGCCCCACTTTGTGTAGGCGGGAAACTGAGGCATAGGGGACTGCAGAGTGCAGGGACGGGGGACAGGACGCCAGGGCCAGGTGCAGAGGCTGCCTGGGGTCCCGCCTCCGGCAAAGTTATGGCTGGGTGCAGGAGGGCGGGGCGGCGACCCCCGGTGTGGGCAGAGTTGGAGACGAGACAAGTGGGTGGAGCGCCAGGAGGTGGGTGGGGATGGAGGTAACGCGGAGAGAAGACTCCGGGGATGGAGCCTCCTGGGGTCAGGTGGGTCGGGAGCTGGGGAGGGTCGATCAGGCACCAAGGGTCTGGCCTGACGTTGAGATCGCAGGTTACGATCTGCGGCTATGGCGCAGGATTCTTAGACTATAGGGTGGGGTCCAAGGTCCCACAGGGTGGCGGGCCTGCAGGCCGGTCCGCTTACCGGAGCGCAGCGGGTTGAACCTCTGGCCAGGCCTGGCGCGGATTTCCCAGGTCTGGCGCGCACCGTCCCCGGCCGCCATGAGTGCGCCGCAGCCCAGCGTGTTAGTGACGAGCAGCGCTCGGCCTTGGAAGAGCGGCTTCCCCGCCGCCCACAGGCCGCGCACCCAGTGCCAGCGGCCGGACACCATCGCCGCGCTAGACCCCAGAAGCCGGGAACCGGTCCGCTCGTGCCGCGCAGACCAATCGCGAGTCGCCGCCTCACCGGAATGCCCGCCCTATACCAGGCCGCCAATTGTAGACGGTCCTCAGCTTCTTTTTTTTTTAAACTTATGTCCCGCCCCAAGCGGCGGAGACCAACCGATGGCCACCTTCTCCCTTTACTTTCCCCGCCCCTAACTGTATTGACCAATAAGAGATCGGCATCTCATCCCGGGGCCAATCGCCGTAAGAAGGCAAACCCTGCCTTCCCGCGCTGCAGGGACCAATCGCAAAAACGCATCGCGCTCCACTCGCCACCAATTGCCGGATCTAGCTCGTTTCCCCGCCCCTTCCGCCCCGGCCTATGGCAACCGTGGCCACACCTCCCAGGGAAACCGCAGCCAATAGTTGTCAAATGGGCTGGTCTCGCGCTCTGGGACGGCCAGTCTTAAGACAGTTCCTGCGCTCCCCTAGCCAATCGTCCCTGAGCGGAAGTCCAATCACGGGCGGGGGAGGACCGTACTCCTGCGCGCGCAGCCCAAGCCAGTCGTAATTAAGACGCTGACCTTAGTCCTGACTTTACCCCGGCTACTAATTAAAACCTCGATCGCTGTTCCGTGCAGTAGTTCATTTTACAGTAAGTTCATGATGCCACAGGAACCTTTAACCCTCGTGTATCCCCGCAGGGGAAAATGTCTCCATAGGCATGTGGAAGGCGTGGCAAAGCACAGCCCGTGGGCCAAATCAGGCCACAGCCCGTTTAAGTGGGGCCCGGGTGGTTAGGATTTTTAAAAACCTTTTTAAATGGTGAGAAACTATGTTGGGACCCACACGAACAAAACTTTTTACCATCTTGCCCTTGGCCCAGTGGGTTAAGCGTTGGCTGCTAACTTGCAAAGTAGCCGTTTCAAACGTTCTGCAGGAGAACGAAAATCTTGGCGCCGTTCTACTCTGTCCTATCTGGTCTGAGGAGCAGTCTATCGGGCAGCAGTGGGTTCTCCTTGTTGCTCCCTGTACAGCCTGGTGGTGCCATCACTAAGTTCTCTACTACTCATGGGGAACAACATCAAAACCCTCACTGCCATCTAAGTCCATTCGGACTCAGAGATTGAATAGGACAGGGTGGAACCGCCTCTGAGTTTCCGAGACTAACTCTCCTGAGCAGTGGCTGGTGGTTCTGAATGGCTGGCCTTAAGGTTAGCAGTCCAATATGTAAACACTAGACCAGCAGGGGTCCTGCTCATGGAAAGGACAATTTGAACCCATCACTTGCGCATCAGGAGAAAGATGGGGAAGTGTGTTTCCTTCCATGGCCGCCCCAGAAGGCCGGCAGAACAGTTCTTTCCTGAAGGGTCACTATGTGACAGGCAGATGGTTTGGTTTTAGTTCCCTATAAGGCCCTCTTCAGAGTTATCTGTTTCTATGGGGAAGTCTGGTTATAAATAATAACAAAAGAATTCTCGTTTATAGACATGCAAATAAATTCTCCTCCATGGAGGGAAAGCCCCAGGCCCTGCAAAAAAAAAATTGTTTTAAGCCTTGATTTGGCTTCAGTGTAATATCCCTGACCAGTCTGGTCCTTGGGGGTATAAACATAAGGCCAGAAGGGATTTTGCAGACGTCACTAACGTCCCTAATCAGGTCACTTGAGGCAATCAAAAGGCAGATCTATCTGTGCTTCTGGTTATGAGAAATCTGGTGGCACGTTGCCTGATGTTAGGTAATTGCGGTACCGTCTCTCCCACCATCATTGTTATTTAAAATGTTAACTTAGCTAGGATCCCACACTGAACTTAGCCATCCACCTCCCGTTTCCTCTCATCTCTGAGTTTCCCAGTCTCTCCCCGCCTCTCAGGACCTTGACACTTTTGAAATGCTTGGGACAGGTATTTTGTAGAAAGGTCTCCCCATTGGGGTTTGTCTGGAATTCAAACCCTTATTGTCTCAGGTCTGGGGTCACTTGGCATCCACATGACTGATCATGGGTGACACCAACCTTAATCATCTGGTGAAGGTAGAATCTTCCAGATGTCAGATTAATGTTTTTCCTTTCTCTGCTTCCTTCTTTGGAACTCAGTCCTAGTGGACTAGGTGTCCTAGTGGTGTAGTGGTTAGGCATTGGGCTGTGATCCGCATGGATGGCGGACTGAAACCACAAGCAGCTTCACAGGAGAAAGACTGGGCTTTTTACTCCCATAAATACTTAAGTTTCAGAAACCCACAGAGCATTGACATCTATGGTCCCTCCAACTACGCCTCCTTTAGAGTCTAACTGTGATCTAGCCACTGCCAAGACGGCTGGTGAGTGGAAGTAAGCTTCATCTCCTGAAGGGCAGCATAGACATATGCGATTTCACAGCCACTTTTCAGAACCTAATAGCGACTTGTCACTTCCCCTCTGGCTGACTATGGTGCCCCAGGTATTTTAAATACCAACAGCCAAGTCCCCATGGTGGACAGGTTTCAACAGAGCTGGATTAGATAAGGTTGACAGAAGAAAGGTCTGTCAGTCTACTTCTGAAAATCAGTGGATGGAAACCCCATGGCCCAGAGGGAGGCCTCTGGGGGACTCCAACACTACATGCGTATGTCAGGGTGAGGGCCGGGGGCGGGGAGTGGGGGCTGCTGACTTGTCAAATGATGGACAACTTTCAGAAGTTTATTTGAGTCATTGCAATTTAGCACCATTCTCAGAAGGACAAGATTGTTGATCTTGAGGTGGGATTTTTGATGAGACAGGGCTTCTCAGGATGCCTAGGAGTTATCCAGGTGCTGAGAGCTGGGAATCAGAAAACCACTGTGTGTCGGGGAATGGGGGCTTCTCAGGATGCCT